CGCCTGCCCGCCCTGCGCTGGGCCTGTCCCTGCAGCACAGGGTCTGGGATGAGGGCTTTGTTCGTGGAGCTGACTCATCAGCAGCACACTCTGGAAATAAACCTCAGGAAAAAGGTCCCTCCGGGAAATAACAAGGTATAGAAAAGCGGCGTATTTTTAGCCCGTGACATCATGCCCATTGTGGAGTCGCTCAGCTCGGTTGACTGAAGCACACCGCGACCCAGCCTAGGCCGGTGCTGCAGTGTGGGCACAGCAGCAGTGAAAGCTGTCACACGGTGGGGACACGAGCAGTGCTGGCTCTTGTGTTCATGGCTGAACGATGTCCCTGTGCATCCATGTGTGTCCTCCACTCCCCACTCCTATGCTGGGCTGAGACATCCCTTCCCACTCTGCCTTGGGCTGCAGGCACCAGACGCTGCAGAGCGTTCCTTCTGTTCCCCAGCCCGTGGCAAATTGCAGGGATGGGCTTGACCCCGGCGGGAGCTGGATGTGCCGAGTTTGAATTGTGCATTGTCAGGGCCGGAGGACGGGACACTGCAGCCTTCCCTGCCTGCCCACAGCCCTTCAGCTGAGCCAGGAGGGATTTCTGCTGCCCTGGCCATTAAAGGCTCCCAGTGGCTGTTTCTGTGGGAGCTTGGCTGAGTCAGCACCAGTGGCACTGAAGGGGACCTCAGCCAGGGTCACTTTCAGGATCTGGAGTTTCCTTCTTCACGTCCCTGTGCTTGGTCCTGGGTTGTAGAGCCTTTGGGAGCACCTCCCTGGTGTCTGCTGAGCGTGGCTCCACGAGGTGTGAACTTTTGCCAGCACTATATCAGACTCTGAACTGCTTCGTGTCGATACTGAGGTTGGTTAAAAGGCTCAAAATAAGGATTATTTCTTCCCCATGTTTTCCAAGCCGTGTGTGCTCTATTCTGAAACAGGATTTGTTTCACCGATAAAGCCTGATGTAACACAACGTATTCGGGCGTTGCTTACGAGTACATTTTTGCATGGCGTGTGCTGAAGCATGTCTCGCGTTTAACGGCTGGATGTGTCGATGGATAGGGATTGCAGAGCTGAGGCAGCTGCCTCAGGGGGGAGTGGCCAGCTGCTTCGCTTCAGGAGGGAATTCTTTCTGTGTCAAATCTGCACGAAGACGTGGTGCACGCTGCGGGTGTTACGGGTACGTCTGTTGTGTGCATTCACACACTGGACCATGCATCTTTGTGATCCAGACGTTATGTGCCATAACTGCCCCATCCACATTGTAGCCTTTTGTTAAAGTATTGAAAATCAGGCTCTCATAGACCTGGAAAAAAGCAAACAATTGGCAAAAGATGTGGATTTTCCAGCTGAATTTAACATGTGCAGCTGTTTAAAGCAGCTCTCCTTTGATATAAGCAGTTGTGCCCAGATGGGGTTTTCTTTCCAGCAGCTTCCCGAGCCGCTCACTCAAGGTTTTTGTTTTTTCCTCTCATTACTTATAGCGCCTTCAGACTGAGGGTGAAGAAGAGGCGGTTGTAGTTTCAGAGCTTTGCATTCCTCACCGAGCTGTGCCTGCGTTTGCATGCAAAGCCATCGCCTCCCCTCCAACTATTTTAATCATTTCAGAAAGGGTGGGTCAGCAGGCATTTGGCAGCGGGCTCCTTTTATACAGCTGAGGTGGAGTCAGCCAATGACCTGCAAGCCTGGAAAATTTTGCAGGGCAGTTTCACTGGACGGCTTTGCGGAGCTGTGCCATTTGAATTGCAGCACAGCCATCCACGCACTGCGCTCTCCATTCCTGGCGCGTCTCCCGGCGCAGAGTTTAGCTGAGGCTCGGGTTTAGTGTTCCCTCCTCTCTCCCTGCAGTGACAGCTTCTCCGGGCTCCGCTGCCACGACTCCCGAGCAACCATGGAGGATACTACTTTGCAAATTATCGAACCGCCGACTGCCTCTGAGGCCTCTGAGGAGCAAGTGCCTGAAGAACCCATCAAATCGGACCAGATCAACGGCGTGATGGTGCTGACCCTTCTGGACAAGATCATTGGAGCGGTGGATCAGATCCAGCTGACCCAAACGCAGCTGGAGGAGAGACAGCAAGAGATGGATAGCGCAGTGACCAGCATCCAGGGAGAATTAACCAAGCTGACAAAGGCGCACACCACCACCAGCAACACCGTCAACAAGATGCTGGAAAAAGTGCGCAAGGTGAGCGTCAACGTGAAAACCGTGCGGCAGAACCTGGAGAAGCAAGCTGGGCAGATAAAGAAGCTGGAGGCCAACGAAGCGGAGCTCCTGAAACGCAGAAACTTCAAAGTCATGATCTACCAGGTAAGGAGCTGTTCCAAAACTTCCCTGTGCCTGTCAGGGGTGTTTGCTTTGCTGAGGGTCTGTCGTGCTGCATGGCTCGGTGCTCTCCCAAACTCTCCTGCCTGGTGGTCCGAGTTGAGGCGGGTCCGAAATAGCACTCTCATTCATGTGCTGAGACAAGGTTTGACAGGGTTGCTATATTTAACAGGAATGTTAACGAAGATAGTGAGAATGGCCCTAAGCCTCATTGCAATGGACCAGAAGTATCAAAATAACCTGATTTTACTACTTAGCTAAAAAAAGAACAAGAATGCGCTGGGTTCTGGAAGGGAGTGTTGTAACTTTGCCTGCAAGCGTCTTTTCTACCGAGAGGCAGTGTGCGTATTGCTATGTGGAGAGCGATAGCATTTCAGATTTGTGACATGCATCTGATAACAACAAGAGTCAGTGACCCCAGCACCAGGGTTAATCTCACTGGCAAGGACAGAGACATAGAGAAAACACAGCACAGCTCCTCGAGCCCGTCAGCGCTCGGGGCTGCCTTTGCCGTGTGCTGGTACCAATTTCCACGTCCTTTTCTGCAGCCTACGAGTCTTAAACCTTCTGGTTGTCTGGTTTCACCTTCCACTAAGTGTTGCATTTATCCTTGTTATTATTAAACGAGAGCAAGGAGTGGAATAGATTTCTGTCAGTTCTCATGTCTGGAGTTAGTCCTCCTTATCAGAGCGAACCCTGACAGGGAAGAACAGTGAGTGAAATAGTTAATGACTCTGTTAGAAGCCTGTGGGTTAATAATAGACAGCGTCAGGGACAAATGGAGAAGCATCCAGTGCTGATCACAGGAAGAGAGAGAACAAAACCAGAAAATGCTTCTTGCTACGGGGTTTGGAGGGGGAGCTGATCGTAATAGGCTCAGGAATCTAATGAGTACGGGGCCTGTGTAACTCTGATTCAGAGCTTAAGCATTTGTTGTTTTATCGTGCCTGAAAGGCTGGAATTCTCGAGCCTACTCGGATCATCCGGGTAACCGAGCCAGTTATAAATATATTTATTACAGGCTCTTTGTATCGGGCTTTTGGCGGAGGATGGATCTGTCCATGGAAAAATAAAATAGAGCTCTCAATGTGCTGCAGAAGCAACAAACATTGCAAAATGAGAAGCGTGAAGGGAATTGTGTAAACATAGCATTCTTTGGAGGTCACGGAAATAGGTAGGAAGTTGGCAAGTGTCTGGGTCCTTCGGGAGGACGCTGAGCACGGGCAGGTTGTTGTTGTGTGAGCTGCTCGTTTGGGTTTGCTGGTGTCTGTGAATATCAGTAGAGTTTCTCCGCGAGTGCAAAGCAGCAACGCTGCTTCTGAGGGGAATGGGGCAACACTCACTGGTGAAACAGGGACTGAGCGGCCTCTGAGCGGATCAGTTGACAAGCGGCCACGGCGGGGATTTTGTGAATTGTGAAGATGTTAGGGGAAAAAAAATGAATTATTTGTAATTCAGAACCATTTCCCAGCACAAAATTTAGTGTGATTTGGCTGTGAGGCCATGGAGCACACGTGAGAAACTCTCCAGGTTTGCTCCGTGTGCGATGGAGCCTTTTGTGCCCTCCTGGAAATCCTCGCACGCCCGTGGGACACCCGGGCAAACCTCGCCACGAGGGTGAGGATCTGCTTCTGGGGAGGGCCGGGAGCAGCAGCAGGCGTGCAGGCTTCTGCCTTCATCGCTCTCCTGTGCTTTGCTGAGGCAACAACAGCCCCACGCCGTGAGAGTTCGATTGCCAGACCAGGGCCACAGGGAATGCCACAGTAATGGAATGGCTCTTTCCTGCGTATGATGGAAACAGATTTTTGGTCAACAGAGAATGTCTCTAAATTCTACCAATCTCCAGTCTGTCTCAGAGCCACAGTAATTATTATTTCTCCTATAGAAAATAGGGTTGCTTGATAGTTGCGTTATTCTGTAGATTGTACTCCATAAAAATGTCTTTGTCGTGTAATTTTTGCTGGACGGAAACCTGAATTGTATGGCTTGGTGCAAGGTAAATAACTGCCATAGATGGGAGTCTCTCGTACTTACGGAGACCTTTTATTTCCAGAAGTTAAACGTTTGGGGGGATCTCAGAAGTTTTGCAACATTATTGCTACTTTCTAACCCAGAAAATGCTGCCTTTGGAAAGCTGTGATTAACTTTCCTGTGCAATTGCCTTTCCAGTTGCTACGGCTAAAAATGCAAAGATTTATTAGTCTTTTTTTTTTTGAAGAAAAAGAGAGAAACTCATCTTCAGAGACATAAAGTACTACATAAACCCAGCAGTGGGTATTTTCAAATAGTAGTCGTGCTCTATGGGTGTCTAACGTTGGGTGATTCTGCCATGTGAGGAGATGCAGGGAGGTGCAGGCAAATCAGCCCTTTACGGCTGTAGGTGTTTGATCTTTCTCTCGGCGTTGGACATTGAGCCCATGGCCGTTGCAGTGGGACTATTTCAGGAGTGCAAATAAGAGCTTTTGGCACCTTGGGAGAGGAGGTCAGACCCATGCGAGAGCTGTATTTTGCCGTTCGATTAGGAAATGAAAACCAGGTTTTATTCAGGAAAGCCCGAGCTGTCAGGGTGAGCCCACAGCACGTCTGCCTGCGCCGTTTCGGACTTTGGGGGAGAAAGTGCAAAACGAAAAATGGGTTCCACGGGGGTGGGGAGGGGCAGGTCCAGCAGATGTTCACGGGTATCATTCGCGGTCACCCATAGACCTGCATGCACCTTCTCACTCGCTCACACACTTTTACCTGACTTTGCCAGGAGCTGCTCTGATTGCTACTGAGGTGAGGGGTTTTGTACCAACTTAATCACACAGAATCACAGAATCGCTCGGTTGGAAAAGCCCTCTGAGATCATCACGTCCAACCGTTCCTGTCTACCCCCTAAACCATATCCTTAAGTACCTCGTCTACCCGCTCTTTAAACACATCCAGGGATGGTGACTCCACCACCTCCCTGGGCAGCCTGTTCCAGCCTCTGACGACCCTCTCAGTAAAGAACTTCCTCCTTATCTCTGACCTGAACCTCCCTTGGCACAGCTTGGTGCAGTTTCCCCTTGTTCTGTCCCCCATCACCTGGGAGAAGAGACCAGCACCCACCTCTCTACGACCTCCCTTGAGGCAGTTGTAGGGGGTGATGAGGTCTCCCCTCAGCCTTCTCTTCTCCAGGCTAAACAAGCCCAGTTCCCTCAGCCGCTCCTCATCAGGCTTGTTCTCCAGAGCCCTCCCCATCCTTAATGTAGGGAGTTACATCAGTTCTTCAGAATAAAATCTGGAAAAAAACAAACCACCTTCAAATTCCCCCAAGTTTTTGTTTGGAAGATGAGCCTACCAAAGCAAAAGTGGCACAGGCTTTTGAGAAGCTGCTGTGTACACGGGAGCTCAGGACTTGTACCGTACCCAGGGCTTGCCATCCTAAAAACTCTGATGCCAAACGGCTACGTGCGCTTGTCAACAGCCTGTGAGAACAGAACTGTTCAGTGCTTCCTTTGTCTCCCGTCTTTCAGAGAAATTAGGGCACCAACAAATTTGGTTAGAGTGCTTGCTAATAAAAACAGACTGAAGTGACTTCATCCCGAATCTCCTGGTTTTAGGGCACAAGAGTCTAGGGCTGATTACTGCAGGTCACGATTAAATAGTGGGTGTCCCATTCAAAAAGCTGCTGCTCTAGAACCCGACAGCGTGCTGCTCTGATCCGAGGGACGGCACCCGTCAGCACTTATGAAAGCTCAGCATTTTTCCTCTCAACATTTTTCAACAATTAAACCTGTTCTTGCATATGCCAAAAGCCCGATTTTTTACAGCCAGGCATCCAAATGCTTGCAGCGCGCAGCGCACACGTTGAGCGTTGCACTTCTGAAATGTGCTGGTTCTTGATTTTGAGGCTCACGTGGGTGCCGAGCTCGAGGGCAGCGGGGCTCATGATGTGCTGTGTGTTACAGAGAGCGGCCTTTGTCAAGGGTGTGTGGAGGGGCTGCCCCCCACCCCGGCACATCCGGGGTCCCTGCGGGGCTCCTCTACTCTGCGGGTGACCCCAGCGGCCGCTCAGAGCCTCAGGACGTAGAGGGGCTCTGTAAGGGGTCGGGCGGTTTTGAGAGCAGGGCAGAACGTGAGCCTCAGCCGCACGATGCGTGGGTAGGTAGGGCTGGACAGGGAAATATAAATAGCACGGCTTAGCTTTTGTGCCTCGAGTGGGCCTTATACGGACTAGAGCAACAGGGCTGGCCATCGTGGGGAGGAGGGCTGGATTTCAAACCACACGTTAGCGCCACAGACTGGGAGGCCAGACCTGAGCTGCCCAGTTTTAGGTCTGTGCTCCTCAAAAGATTGTGGAAAGAGCGTGAGCTCGGGGTGTGACGAGAAGCATGAGGCAGCAGCACGGGGCGGACGCACCCTCGTACCGCAGCCACCTCGCGCTGGGGCCAGCACAGCCCATCCTCCCAAGAGCGTCCCGCTCGGCCCAGGGGCAGGCTCGGAGTGGGGCTGGTCCTGCGTCTGCACGGAGCTGCTCCTCACTGCGCTGTGCAGGAGCCTGAGGCTGCCCCTCCTCAAGGATGAGTGGGGAACTGTGCAGTGCCCTTCCCGATGCACTGCGCTGCCTCTGTGACCCACGTAAAGTGTGCAGTGACTCGTGAGCTTTTTGGAAACGTGCTCAGCCCTCTCTTGTCCTGTTTAGGATAATGTTGGCCTCTTGATTCTGCAAGATCTTCTACAGCTTACAGAGTACCTGGAGAACTGTGGGCTTGTCCAGCTGCAAGAGAAGACAAAGACCAGAAACGAAGATGGTCGGTGTCAGTGAGGGAGAATCAAATATTTAGAATAAAAAGTCTCAGGATGTTTAGTCTGTAGCTTTATGTGAGGATGCAGATGTCAGTGTCAGCAAATCATCTGCAGTGCAAACTCCATCTTTGCTGGTTTGCTGCTCAGAAACAGCTCTGCAGTTATTAATCAGTTGAGACAGGTTTATCCGGGAGGAGCGGTTCTGAGAGTAAAAC